TTGGGCCTTGCATGCCGAACTGCAAATGGCTGCTCAAGTCATTGAAAAGAACATCTGGGATACTGGGGTGTTGGGGTAACTACTGATTAGCTGTTGCAGGCCATTGAGCAGAGCATCTGGGACATTGAGGCAGCTACTGATTAGCTGTTGCTAGGCTAATTGCTAGGGGACTGCTGAACATTATCACAGGCAGGTGGCCAAAGTGCATCTTGTGGTTTTTCTTGGAACTAGAATTTATGTCCAGGCCACCTTACTCTAAAATGGGGCCAAAATTTTAAAATGGAGTCACTCAGGTCTCACACAGGTTACTTAGGTCACACTTCAAGGCGGGACTGGAGATTGCAATTGCAGCCCAGGATCCTAAAGACCACAATCACTGCTTTCCCGGAATCTGAATTATCTCAGAATTTAGTACATGTAGATCAGCACACAAACATGATGGCTCTGGAGTCCAACCTGGTGCACAGCATTCATTTGTAAAGTCTTAGGAGAACATGACCATGTCTATTCATTTCTGTACTGAGTATGGCAGCCTGAGAATCACAGAGAACAGAAGGACAATGCCAACTCAGCCTCAACAAATGGACATAACAGCTATCTACAGAGTGTTTCATCCAAAAAGAGAATATAGATTTTTCTCAGAAGCACAGGGAACTTTCTCAAATATACATCATGTCTTAGGCCATAAAGGATGATGCAATTGCTACAAATGAGCTGAAAGAATCCCCTGCATGTTAATGGATTATAGTGGAATAAAACCAGAAATGAATAGCAAAATAGGCCACAGAAATTATGCAAACAGATGGAGATTAATGAATACATTCTTGAGCAATCAATGGGACACAGAGATACCAGCTGAAAAATTTAAAAGCTCCTAGAATCAAATGAAAATCTAAGCACAACACAACCAACTCATGAGACACAATGCAAGCAACAGAAAGAAAATTTTATAAATGGGAAGGTTCACACTGGAAAAATAGAGCCATCCTAAGTAAACTATACTTTGAGGTCCTAAAAACAAGAACCATCCAAGTCTAACCCTAGTACAAAAGAAAACTACAAAGATTAAAATGAAAATCAATAAAATTGAGACTAAAAGAAGATTTTACAAGGAGTTCATGGAAGAACTACTGTCAAAATTTTTCTAAATGTTTTGAAGTTGAAAAGAAAGGACACTGCCAAATTCATGAACAAAGCCAGAATTTCCTGATACCCTAATCTTAACCCTAGCACTGATCCTTAAATCTAATCCTAAATAAAACCTAAACCTTAATGTTGACCCTAGTTCTAAATGGTAACCCTGACCCTAACTTTCAATCCAAATTCTGAAACTAACCCTAAACACTAATGCTAATAAAACCCCTTACCATAATATTAAATCTAAGCATATTTCAATCCAAATCCCTAGCCACTAACTCTAACCATAAGATTAACCCTGAACGTAACCCTGAACCCTTACCCTAAATCAAACCCTCACCCTAACCTTCATGTTCACCTGAACCCTAAACATAACACTCATACTCACCCTAAATCTTAACCCCAAGCATAACTACTAACATCAAACTCTAATCCTAATCCATAACATCTAACACTAATGCTAACTTCAACCCCAATACCAACCCAAATCCAATGCTAAGCCCAACCCTCGCCATAACTCTAACCCCCAGCCTAACCCTAAAGCTTAACCTAACATAAACCCTAATCCTAATATCCAACCCTACCCTTAAACTTTACTGCTAATCCATACAGTATTTTCATCAAGGAGTCACAGAGAGGCCCTCTTCCTGTTGCTCACTTCTGCTCTATCTTCTGGAGCTCAGAACAATGTCCTGTAAGACCCCTGAAACTCTTTGGAATGGACCCAGGTAATGGCTACACACAACCTCCAGAGGGTAGTGGTGGTGGTGGTGCTGCTGGCTCCAGCATGGCTCACCTCTTTGGCATTAGCGGGTCTCTGCTCCTTGGAGTTTGGAGGCTGTAGTTCCCAGGGCCTCCACCCTCACCTATTCCATGCTGGCGGGGCTCTGCTCCTTGGCACTGGGGTGTGGTGTTACAGAGGCCCAAGGGGCTTACCTCATTGGCTAGCATGGGGGCATCAGATCTACTCCATAGCCCTAGGGGGCTGTGGTAAGCAGGTCCGAGAGGCACACCTCCTTGGCACTAGCAGGGCTCTGCTCCTCAGAGTTCAGAGGCTGTAATACCCAGGGTGTTGAGCCTCATCTACTCCATGCTGGTGGTTCTCTGCTCCTTGGCACTTAGGGGCAGTGCCATAGACTTCTGAGAGGCTCACCTTGATGGCATGGGAGGGGGTTTGCAGGTGGGGTTGGGGACAGGTCTGCTCCTCAGCCCTCCTGGGCTGTGGTACAGAGCCCCCAATGGCTCACCTCCATAGTGCTGGGGTGGGGATGTGGGGGGGGTCTCTCCTCAGTGGTAGGGCTGATGCTATGGTGCCCCCAGAGTCTGACCTCCCTGGCCATCTGAGGGGCTGCTACAGAGGCCCCCAAGGCTCACTTCCTCGGCACTTGGCAGGGGGTGGGAGGCTCTGCTTCTTGGCACTGAGGGGAGCGGGTGTGGGGGTGTGGTACTGAGCCATGAGAAGCTCACCTCCTTGGTGCTCTGATCCCTAAAATAAATCCTAAACCTTATCTTAACCTGAATACCCTAACCCTCAACCTTAACCATGACTGGGAAGCTAAAGCCACTCACCAACCCTAACCCCTAATGTTGATCTTCACTCTTACACTTATATTCATGCTGAACATGACACTCATCCTTACTCTATCACCAACTCTGACTTTAAACCTCAAACTAAACCCAATCCTCAGCATCACTCTAACCTTCACCCTCACCCTGACAGTGTTCCTAAGGCCTCAAATTACATTTGGTCACACTCCAATATGATTTCATTATCATTGTGCTCTGTGATGAAAATAATACACACCATAGCCACTTACCCAAACCTTACCTCTAAAATTATCCATCAACAAATCCTAATAGATCTCGCCCTAACACAAACCTTAAAAGACACATAACCCTAACACTGACATTAACATAAAAGTCTCAACCTAACCTGACCCCAGTTTCCTATGGCAACTCACAATAACCACACAAACCTGCTTCAAGGCCTTACCTTCAAGCTTGCCCTAGCCCTAACCAGAGGTCTAGACATAATATTGCCCACAAGGTAAACCCTTCAGCATAACCCTCACCCAAACCTCACTGTAATTCTTGAATGTAGTCCCTAAACCTTAACAATAAATAGGACCACCTGGTTCTTAAACCAACTGTCTCTGGCCAATGGGAGTTGGGTACATTCAGGCCTGCATGCAGATAGTAGTACAGTATACATTGGGGTGAATGTGTCCAATTTGCATAAGGCAGGTTGGGAAGGGGCTATCAGCAGTGTGAGGTGACTTTATAGAAGCACCTTGGAGAGAGGACCACAGGAAGTGATCTCACTTCCTTGACAATGGAACAAACAGAACTTGGTGGCCTGGAGGGTGGTGGGATGCAGATACTCGTGCAGAAACTGAACCACAGGAAGCATGTATGTTGAGTTGCTTCTCAAATTACTTAGGCTCAGGCCAAAAGAGATGGTGGAGTGAGAGAAATTACAAGGAATAAACTGCAAGTCAACACAATTGAGACTAAGTTAGTAAGAATGAATGCCATGTAAGAACTAAAACCCAAAATTCCCCAGATATTCATAAAATTGAAAAGGAACGACCCTACCAAATTCCTCATACATAACACTGAAGCTATAGCCTAACACTTAATCCTAATCCCTAACCTTTAATCTGCACTCTAACCCTTATACTCACTCTAAACCCCACATTCTCCCTTACCCTATGGCCAAACCTCACCTTAACCCTCAGACTAACCATAACCTTCATCCTCAGCTTCATCCTCATTTGACACTCCTGAATCCTAACCCTACATTTCCTCATGATCCAATCGAATGTATTATCAATGTTTAGTGATAAAAAATCATACACAATGTGGCCACTAACCAAAATGCTAGCCCTAAAATTAGCATGAAAAAAACCTAATAGGCATAGCCCTACCATAAACACTTACATGACATGTAACCCTAACCCTGACCTTAAAGTCTTAACCTTACCTGACTTGTTTCCTAAGCTAACTCGCTACAGTAAACCCTCAAACCTACTACAAGACCTTACCCTACCTGACGCTCACCCTAACCCTAACAGGACTCCTAGACATAGCAATGCCCTGCAGCTGAACCCTTCACCCCAACCCTCACCCAAACCTAACTCTAATCCTTGATCACAGGCACTCACACTTGAACACTAAGCTGGAGGGCCTGGTTCTTAAACTAGTTGTTTTTGCCCACCGGGAGTTGGCTGAGCTGTGGATGCATGCAGATAGTAGTGCCGGGTGGGTTGGGTTTTGTGTGTCCAGTTTTACACATGCAGGTTAGGAAGGATCAGCCAGAAGTCTGGGATGACTTTGCAAATGCAGCTTAGAGAGGGTGACCCAGGAAGTGACCTCACTTCCTTGACAACTGACCAAACTGAACTTGGAGCATGGAGGCTGGTGGAATCCAGTTACTCCTGCATAGACTGAAACATGAGGGCTATGTGGTTGTGTTCCTTCCCAAATTGCCTAGGCTCAGGTCACAGGAGATGGTGGAGTGGGGGCCTTGCCCACATACAGACACTCTGGGACAGCTGTCACCCCTGGGGTCTCTGCAGAAGGAACCCAAAGATAAGAAAGGTGGCACAGGACAGCTCAGAGCAGGTGAGAGTCAGCCAGCCCATCATGCTGATGGCCCTGGGTGGCCTCAGGCCCCTGCCTGGGTCGTGTGGGTGAGTGTGCATGTGTGGGTGTGTAAAAATTGAGGGGACATTTTCCCTGCTGTTTCATTTGGGTGGTGAGCACTTCCTAGTTGCTATGGTTTCCAAGCTTGAACTCTCCCTCCTTGGGCTCAAATCAGGGTAAATAGGAGTCCACCTTGAAGAAGGAGGAGACTGGCAGTCAGGATGCTCCAGCCAGGCACACTGAGGAAGCTGGTGAACCACCTGGTGTCTGTGCATCGCCTTGGGAACCCCTTCTTCATGCCCACATTCCTGTTCACCTATAGGAGGTTCGGCAGCATGCAGCAGGTGCTGGACCTGCTGTTCCTAAGGTGTGTCCCCACCTCCCAGTCCTGAGGACTCACTAACTCCTGGGTGGTGCTTGGGAATGCTCTGCACTATTCCATGCCCCAATTTGCCCTGTGGGAGCCAAGGTGCTCAGAGGAACCTCTCAGATGGAGTAGTCAGGACCAAGTGGGCTGAGACCAGCGAGCACCTCCCCCAATTCTGGCTCTGTGCAGAGGCCCAGGGCTGGAGGACTTGCCCTGCCCCAAGAAGGAGCTATGGGCCTTGCTTTCCTAGTTTCCTGCCTGGAGGAATCAGTGTGGGGACCCCCTGAGGCAGACTGTGCACCTCAGCATACGGAGATATCCTGGCAGAGCTCCATCACTGCACACATGTGTGCAAAGCACCTACTGTGGGGGGGCACCTTTCATGACACTTCCCTGTCACTCAGAGAGCAGCCCAGATAATCCTCTGGGCCTCCCCTGCTTCCCTCCCCATGCTGCAATCAGATGGTCCTCCTGGACCTCCTGGGAGGTGGGGGCTCTGGTGCCAAAAGACCACACCCTCCTGGCCACTCCAGGTATGCCTTCCTTCAGCCCAACTGTGAGGACAAGCAAAATGGGAGTTGAGAGAGCTTGGGTCTGAGAGGGAGGGCTCCTCTCTCCAGAGTGGGGTACATCTGGGTAATTGGGCTTGGGGTGCACTGGGGAAACCCAGGTCACACACTTTGCTTCCTGCTAGAGGGCTGGGGTCTGGGGCTTCAGCTACAGGAGGAGAACAGAGGTGTGGCTGGGGCCCTGGGCATGCAGGGAGCCCAGGATGGCCAGGGCTCAGCAAGGTCCCTGTGCGGATCCATCCCCACACAGCACAGGCCCAGCTGGGCATGCCCACTCCGGGATGGAGGCTGCAGAGGAGGTGTGGGCACAGACTGTGCACCATGGGGCCCACACCTCTGCCCTCTGTGGCCAGGTGCTCATGCGTATATCAGGTTCTGCCTGGCAGCCCTCCCTCAGGGTCCATAACAGGTTAGGGCAAGGGAGAGCCCAGAACTCTCACTCTATGCCCCCCTCACCACCCCTAGAGCTCTGTGCTCCATCCTGGAGACCTGGTTGGTCAAATACCCAGGAGACTTCTGTCAGTGCCCAGAACTGGCCAGCCTGAAGCAGCACATGGCCTACGCACTGTTCAACCTGCCAGACTTGGACATCATTCTGCAAGTGGACAGACTCCTGACCCAATTAGAACCCCTGTGTGTAGGACCCCGAGGGTGAGGAGGCCTGGCTGGGTGCTTGAGGGCTTAGCAGCAGGGTCAGGCTGGGCCCCACTAGGAGGAGGCTCCAGAGGCTGCTGTTGGGCCAGGAGCAAAGGAAGAGGCTGGGACCATGGATGTGGTTAACCAAACACAGGAAACCATCCTGCTGTGGGCTCAGTGGCTGGGGCCTCTTTGGTAGGAATGAGCTTCCTCTGCCTTGGGAAAGACAGAGGGAAAGGCAGTCAAGGAAGTCTTTTCTCTTGCCCCTCTTGTGCCTCCTCTAGGTTCAGAACTGCAATCCACCCCAGCAGGTTTCAAGAGAGACCCAGGAGGAGAGGGAGGGTGGGAGCCTGCACTGGCTTCGGTGTCACCTTGGGATCTGCAGCCAGCATGGGCAACAGCAGCCAAGACTGATTTCATGCCTCTGGCAGCTCCTCCTTCATCCGGCTGCAGGGCATCTCCAGCTGCTCAGACCTGCCCACCAGGCAGGGATCCACTAGCTGGGCCTTCCTCCTCTCCCCTCGGAAAGTCATCCTTTGGTGTTTCCTGTTTTCCCGTGTCCATGTTTCCCTCGTCTGCATATTTATTTTAATAAAATTTAAGTGTTCTTCTATTTCAAAATCCACATCCAGGGCCACTAAAGCCTCAGGTCATACTGAGCACCCCAGAGCACCTTCCAGCTGCTGCCCAGAGCACCTAGCAGAGGCCCGTGGTCCTTTGGGGAGGACAAGTACAGGACCTGCTGGAGGAGGGGACTGAGGAACCCCCAGGGTGATAGGGACATAGAAGTGCTGAGAGGGCACCAAATACAGGCAGGCAAGGGGTTGCCTGTGCTGGACCAGGGCACTGATGGGCTGAGACTCAGGCTCTCTTCTGGGGAACTCTGTGCACCCCTGGAAAGCCACTCCCTTTTGAGCATCAGATTCCTGTCCTGTGTGATGGGACAGCAGAGCCCTCACTGACTGAGATGAAGACACAGTGTTCTGGCATGGAGAGTTCTCTGCACTGTGAGGCAGAGTTGGGCACGCTCCCACTACACAGTGCATAGACACAGAGTTTGCAGGGGTGAATGTTCAGGAGGGTTTTCAGTCTATATAAGAGGTTTATAGCCTTGGCAGTTTTCTGAAATGGTTGCTAAGCTTTCCCACATGCATAAGCGGGAATGTAACTGGCAAAGTGGGGCCTGTGGGACTCTCACACATGTCTGTGGGAACACCCTGGGAGCAACCCCACCGAGGTGACCACACACTGGAGACCCTCCCAGCACAATGCCAGGGTTCACCACTAAACTCACACAAGTATCCAAAGGCCTGGGCAAAATCTAACCTCACTGAGACAGTTAGGGTCCACTGGAGGAGCAGGGGCAGGATACAGCGGTGTGACAAAGGCAGGCCCCAGGTCTAGTGAGCACTGCCCTCCCTCTCCAGCACTGAGGGTTCCCACAGCCCCATCAGGAGCCCTCTGAGCCACAGAAGCAGGTTTGGATGAAAAGAGAAATCATTACCAAGGAGAATCCAGAAGAAACGCTCCAGCTTGACCATCTCTTAGGGTACCTAAAACTCCCCACACCTCACTGGGCCATGCAGTAGTATTACTTTGCTGTGGATGGCCCTCTGATGGGCGTGCTATGGGAACAACTGCCTTGCATACCCGTGGGGACCTGAAGGTCGATTTTGCTAAGAACACTGACCTTTCCCTGCACCAAGATGTATCTAATGGTTGACTGAAATGGAATTCTTCCTCTGTCTTTCTTTTGTGTTTTCCCCCTCTGCTTTCTCAATCCTTCAAGCAGATTCTGCTTGGCTCTGCATGTTCACATCTGGATCACTGAACATGTTTAGTGCATTATCAAAGGATAGGAATCAGGACTGCAGTTTTCCCTGCTCTCTGTGTTGCAGGCACCTGGGCTGTGCGTGCATCCTCAGCCCTCTCATCCAAGCTTGGGGGAGGGGTCTGTCCCTTAGCTTAGTGTGGGGCCTGACATCTGGCTCCTGGTCCTTGTCACCATCCCCAGAGAAGAACTCTAGGTGCCTCCTTCTAAGATGAGGACCTTGGAGTGTGCTGGTCTTGGCAACTCCAATTCCAGCAAATGTGGCCAGTGTCTCCATGATGCCACCTTGTCCTGGGGATCTGGGTGTCCAGCCCAGGAGCCTCACCCCAGTGAGTCCCTGGAGACTTAGTGCCTCAGTCCAGGAAAGCAAAGCCCTGTCCTACATCCCACATGGGAGCTCTCTGGGGAGACCCAGTTCCCCTTGGGAGTCCCTCACTTTTGCTGCTGCCATCCGGGTGGAGTGGGAGGAGGAAGTGGACCTGAGGAGTGCTGGAAGCTCCCTCAGGGTGGATCCTGCCTTCAGCTTAGAGGTGCATTTTAGCTACTCTGAGACTACTCTACACATCACCAAATCCACTGTGGGCACGCACAGTCCCGTCTCCCACTGCACTTTAAGGAAACACCACATAGGTAAGGAAAGAATGTTGGGACTTCATTCACAGGGAGGCACGGGGGCACTGCCCAGCTATGGCCAAGGATGAGGACTTGTGGAGTGCTGACTATTCTCCTCGTTGCCTCTATGAACAAATCCTGGAACTGTCCATGGCTCAAGGTCACAGAACCCAGGGTCAGAAGCCACCTGGGGTGAAGCTGTGTGGGAGGGGACAGGAATGCTAGTCCCGCCCTGGCCAGTCCCCACCCTTCCCACCACAGTCCAATGTGGCCAGGAGCCCAGTCCCCAGCTGGGAGGGTGCAGTGCTGAGGTGGCCATGGCATTTCTGAGGCTTTCTGTGGACAGGACCCCAATGCCCACCCCAACTATACAGCACCTGTTCCCCAAGACAGCGTCTCCTGCTCCTGGGTCCTCAGCTCTCACCTGGATCCTCCTCATCCCCTCTGGTCTCCACAGTCCTGATGCTGCAGGGCTCCTGAATGACAGTGGTGGGGCCTCTCCTGCCAGTCCCCAGTACCCAGTCCCTCATTCTGCCCTCTGACAGGTCTGGAGGGTAGGAGACCCTGGTGCAGGGTGGACTGGAGCCAGGCTTTGGGAGGGTGGATGTGAACATGTAGCTGGTGATGCCTATCTTGGCCCCACAGAGCCCTGGGGACTGGACAACCCTCGGGGAGGACATGGTCACATGCTGCCTACTGTCCTCCCTGGGTCCCAGCAGAGCTCAGCGCTCAATGTCCTCCCTGGCTTCTCTGCCTGAGGTGGGATGGGGGTTGGGGGGATGGAACAAGAAGGGTTGGGGGGGGGAAGTGGGGTTCTGTGGTGACATCCTTATCTCCTTCAGAATGGTGGCATCTTCCCACCAGTGTGCAGCCTGGGCTTTCGGGAGGGGCTGTCCACTTTAGGCTGAAATCAAATAGCTCTCCCTACTCCTCTTGGTCCCCATGTGCTATTGGATAACAAGCAGAGATCTGCCTTCTACCTCTGCCTGCTGAGCATCTACTAAGTGGCTATATCACCCCAGCACAGCTGTCAGGAGAGGCTGCTCGAGGCCTCCTCTCCTGGGCCCAGGAGCCTGGTTAACTGGGAACTTGGCGAGCTCTTGATGGGCCTGGCACAGCTGTGCCAGCTGCTCCTTCAAGAAATCACTCTTCTTGCTGCTGTCACTCCATTCCTTCAGGAGCTAGGCACAGGCCTCCTTGTCCTGTAGCAGCTGCAGCATGGCATATTGCAGCTGCCAGCCAAACATCTGCAGGACGTAGTACTGGATGATCAGGGGCATGTGGGTGGAGATGTGGTTGTGAAACTCCTAGAAGAGACAGATCACAGAAGTGCTGAACAGCAAGTCCAAGGAGGAGATGCTGATCTCATCAGGGGAACATTAGAGGCCCCAGGTCTCCAGGGAGGGAGACCACAGCCTGGGTGGAGTCAGCAGTGTCCCCTGTGCTGGGGCAGAAGGGGTTCCGCATTGGCACAGAAGGATCCGCATGAGTCAGGGTGGCTATGGCCTCTGTCCCTGGCTTCCCTGATCATCATCCCAATCCTGGAAGGAAGGGGGTGAAATATGCTCCACAGCACTCAGGCCCACTCGGGGATATTCAAACACCTGCAACTGGGGAGAGCAGCCCAGGCCTTCTCCTGTGGGCTATCCCTTGGGCTGTTTGGCAGCTGGGTCTGAGCCGTGACAGCCCTGGGCAGGAGCCTGAGTTCCAGCAAGGACAGAGTCCCCACCACCCCTCCTCCTGCCCCACTGTCCTCCTCACTCGCTCTCTCTGACACACACTGACCTCAGGAGTGTGACATGTACTGGTGGCCCAGCAAGTTCTGCTGACCCCGTGTGACTCAGTTTTGTTCTCTGGGAAGTAGGAAGAAAGTGGCCACAGACCTCCTGGGATGGTGAACCACATTGAATGTGTCAGGAGCCATGCTCTCAGGAAGAGGCCAGGCAGTGACCAGCACCAAGTCTGTCCCTGCAGGACACCCAGAGGGAGCTAAGCAGGGATGCAGGTTCTGGGACCAGAGGAGTTGGGTGTGGCCTGTCCCCAGGCCAGAAAGGAGGACAAGGCAGCAGCAAAAGGTGGCTCCTGGAAGCCGGAGACATGGAAGCCCTGAGTGGGGAATGGGACACAACTGTCAGGAAGGCCTCAGAGCCACTGCATGGAATTCTGGCCCGTGTGGCCACAGGGATGTGCATGGAGGACACTGAGCTCCAGACATCAGTCAGCCCTGTTTCTACAGACCTCCAAGGGTCACATTGTAGAGACAGAAGGGAGGATGCTGGGTGCTAGGCCTGCAGCCAGGACACAGAAGAAACCCACTGTACACAGAGAAAGGCCAGCTCAGAGAGATGAAGCCCCAGGCATAGAAGATGCAGCAGTCAAAGCCGCTGTGCAGGGCTCTAAGCTCCCAGCGCCTCTGACTAGCTGAGGTGGAGCTGCTCCAGGAGGCCACACCTGAGCTGGCTGACCACCACCTGGCGCCCCACAGCCCAGACACAGGGGCCCTCAGAAGGAAGGGAGGACTTGGCCCTGGGCTGCGACAGGAGCACATGCACTTGGAGGTAAGCATGCAGATGTTGGAGGATTTCACCCATAGCAGTATTCCCTGAACACTGAGAGACCTTATTTCTCTTATCCTTGGCATCCTCCTCTCTGACCTTCTGCAGGGCACCTTGGTAAGTCTGGTCCTGGATGTAGATGATATGCTCCATCCAGAAGTGAACTCGGATCACCTTCTCTGCTTCTTTTTGAGTTGATCAAATGTCTTCTATTTTGTTCTGTAGGAAGAGAAGGATGACTAAAGATTCCTGAGGAGGCAAACCCACAGCAGTGGGAAACAGGTTGCCCAAGGGCTTGGAGCCACAGCCACCTGGCTGCATCCCCCCACCCCAGTGCTGTGGGCAGATCTCACCTGGGTCTGGGCCCTGCCTGCCCTGCCCTCATCCAGGACTCAGCTCCTCCCTTTACTCCTTCGCAGGTTTGCTGTCTGAGAGGGAGGCAATGGCATCCCCCAGGATGTGTATGCAGACAAGAGCACAGCTGGGGTCAGCACCACCCCAGATGGGCCCTGTCTCTGGCATTCAAGACCACCAAAGGGGAGGCTTTTCCCAGAAAGCACTCACACCCTCCACCTTGCAGGGCGGGCCACTGCGTGTGAGGCTTGGTGCTGGGTAGGTCCCCACCCTGTCCCTCCTGTCATTATCACCTCAGGCACATGGCACTTGTGCATTCAGAGCCACAGGCTAGCAAAGTGGCCACCCTCACCCTCAGGCTGGAGGATGGCAGAGCCTGGGTCCCCTCTGTGCCAGGAGCCCTGTCCTGCGGGGACCTGCCTGAGCCTGGACTCTGGACCACACCTGTCCCATTCCTCCTCCCTCCCCACTGTCCTGACTCTGTACTGAGCCTCCTTGCTGGGTGTCCTGGTGGAGCTTTTACCTCCCAGGCTATCCTAGCTACCCTATCCACTATCCCATGTCTACAATGAGGGCTTCCCAGTTCCCCAGTTTAACTGTTTCATTTCTGAATCTGCCTCCCCACCGCTTTATCCAGAAATTGCTAGGAGCACCAGCAGGAAGATTCCCAGGAGCCAGAGGATTGAAGTGTATACAGGGAATGTATCCAAATGGATGCAGGACATGTGTGTTCTAATGTCAGGGTTATTCATTCTTCTTAATAACACATTGTTTGTTTTACCTTGGTGGTTCTGTGGAGGTTAAAAAACTCAGTAAAGTTTTTTTTCAGAAACATCCATGAGGGCCTTCCAGACCATTTCTGATCAAAGAGAGAGAGAGAGAGGTGAGTCAGTACTGGGAGGCTCCTTTATTCCTCACCTAGGCTGCAAAACATGATTTAAATGGTCAGAAACCAGGCTCCTGTCATTTTCCTCTCCTCCTCCCCTTCATCAGTTCCTTTCCTCTTCCTCTTCTTCCTCTTCTAGCTCCTCTTGCCCTCTTCTTCTTCTTCTTCTTCTTCTTCTTCTTCTTCCTCCTCCTCCTCCTCCTCCTCCTCCTCCTCCTTCTCCTCTTCCTCCTCCTCCTCCTCCTCCTCCTCCTCCTCCTTCTCCCCCTCTCTCCAGTGAAGAGAAAGACATGTTCCATGGAGTTAGAACCCATTGGAAGACTTACAGCTAAATATCCTCTGGCATATATCTATTTCACATTTAATTTTCTTATCCAAGGTAGAAGCTGTGTTTCAAAGGAAGTAATTTCTTATTCATTACAAATCTATTATTGCATAAAATAAAACCATCACATCATTCTTAAATTTATCAATAGAATCTATGTGTCCACACTATTCACTTGAAAAAGAATCTCAAGAACGTGTTCTTATTTAAGCAAAACACATTTACATTCTTATTCTTGAAAGTCATGTTTCTACTCTACTTTCTTACAAGACGTCGCTATTGAGTTGCCAAGTGTCATTTTGCTCCCATGGCTTTTATTGGTGTTGAGATCACAGCTTTCTGAAAGGTCAGGGTCTACATACCTACTTTTAACTTTGTTGTGTGCCTGTGAGGCTGTAAGTGCCACAGACTTTCCTCTGGGAGAAAAAAAGTGAGCATGGATGGATGATGAGAGCATGGAAATGAGGGAGCAGGTATGTTATCCTGCAGCCCAGAGGTAAAAGGCACCGGACACACCGTGCATGAGGTGTCTGGGGCTGCCCTGACCCCTGTGGCCTCTAGGAGCCTTGAAGGACTGGGCTTTGCTGAAACAGGAGGAGGCCAGGCAAGGGAGCCTGAGGGGAGAGATCCACTAGGTTTGAATGCAGGAGGTGGCACATTTCGAGAAGGGGTGAGTGGAGGATGAGACGGGTGTCTCCCTTGGGAGCTCGGACCCTGCCTTGGCCACAGCAATGCCCACACCAACAGACCCCAGGACACTCACAGGTGTTTCTCCCCTGACTTGTCTCCTCAGAGCCATCCCATCAACACAGTGCTTGAGAGTAGAAATGACCACAGCTGTGAGGCACAGTGGCCTGGGACAGAAGACACCCAGATCTGCTCGGGAGGTGTTGGGACACAGCTCAGGGCACCTCAGCACTTCCTCTGTGAGGAAAGCACCCTGTAGTCTACAGAGGTGACTGTGCTGGGCCTGGATGTCTAGGATGAAGCTGTCTAAGATGGACTGGGTCAGGATCAGAAGTGGGATCTGTCCCTCCCAGAGCCGCCACTTCTGAGAGGGAAGAGGGTTGGGATGGAACTGTCACTGCCTGAAACTTACAGGTGTCTGAGGTCACATGGAGCCATGGGCACTCTGGCAGGGTCAAACAATCCCACTCCACAGCAACTTGGCCTCTGGATCCCTTATCGCACCCTTGTGACACACCACCACATGTCCCACAGTGCACTGCTGGCTGAGAAGTGACCAAACTCAAGCAGAGGATGGTAGGACCCTGATGTATAGATGGTCACTTGGGATGAAGCTATCAACTCAGGGACAGTCTTGGGGACTGAGCCCTTGCCTCACTGGGACTGTGCTAGCTTGTGGCACTGTCAGAACCTTGTCCTGTGGGGCCAGAGGCTGGCATCTGGGGGAAAAGAGAATGGGTTTCATGTGGCAAACACCCAGGTGAGAGCCCGGAAGTTGCCCTCTGCTTTGCTTATCCCTTCTCTCCCCGAGCAATAGAGGTCACCATGCAGAGCCACACTCACCAGTGACCTCATGTAGCATCTCTACAGCTGGCTCCTCCAGGGCCTGGAGTTGCTTTTTAATGATCTGAAATGGCCTGTAGTTCAAAAATCCAGGCAGCTCTCTGCTGTCATGCTGGTTTTCAAATTTCCAGACTTCACTTTGTAAACCATCATAACCAAGAAAGGGTAGCTTGGCATTATTTTACCAAATAACCTTGTAGATTTTTCTAACAATCACATGGTGATTTCTCTGAAAACATAATAAGTAAAAGCAAAGTCAAAAATAAATCTTGATTTTCAAGTGAAAAACTACCCTGGGACTGCAGTAAAAAAACAATCTCAAGATAATTCACTTCCGTAAGCACAGGCTGGTAACTGCAGAGCCAGAGAGCAACAAATGCAGAACTTGGAGGAAGACAGATTCTTGGAGAATCACTGAGGGGTGGAATTCCATAAACCCCATTACACTGTACCAAGACAAAGTATCAGGGCACTGAATGCTCCTTACCAAGAAGCAGGGGCCTCTAGGACACAGGATGACCTTGAACACCAGCTGGGGGCACCTGTAGGTCACCTGCTCCCGAGCTGTGGAGGACCAGGAAGTGCCCCTTCCAGAAGGGACACATGGTGAGCAGGAACCCTGGAGTGTGACATGGGCTAGGGAGAGGAGACCCAAAAGTCGCCATCTCCCTCCCTGGGAATGGGTAGCCCGGCTCTGTTTGGACTGGAGAGATTTCCTGGTAGAAATTTCATTATGGAGATTAATGCACATACAATAAAACTCATCCTGTTGAAGGGAGCGATCCCATGATTTCTGGTATATCCAAAAGTTGTACAACCTCTCCACACATTCCAGGAAGTTCCCAGCACCTGCAGGACACCCCACACCCATGGGATCTGACTCCATGTTCCCCAGCTCCAGCCCTGAAGCCCCTCCTCTGCTTTCTGACTCCATGGCTTCCCCCATTCTGGACACTTCACGGGAAAGGAATCTCATGACCTGTGGTCTCTTGTGACCGGTTCTTTGCATTCCACATTGGGGTTTCAAGGTTTAGCCATGTTCAGCATGGGTCAGTGCTTCTGGCTTTCTGTGGCTGAAAATATCACCCTGAATGGCTTTACAGGCTCTCGTGCATGCCCCCAAATTCCTGTGCTGGGATCCTAACCCAGGGCCTCACCATGTCTCTGTGCCACTGACAGGAACCCTAAAATAAAGTGGAACTAAGAAGTGGTAGCTAGCATGGGCTCTTAAGCTCTCTGACTGGTGTCCTTATGCAGACTGGAGACCGGGACATAGACACGCACAGAGAAGACCGAGGCCACAGGGAGAAGGGGCTGACTACACGGCAAGGAGTGAGGCTCCAGAGGGCACCAACTAACCCCGTGGACTTCTTGACCTTGGATCACCAGCCTCCCAACTACTGGACCAGCTCCTCCTCTTGTCTGCTGGCAGCTGTGTTCTAGGAGCCCAAGCAGACACACATCGGGTAGGATGTTTGGTTTCTCCCATCCCCAGCTGAGGGATGCTGGGGCTGGGTGGCCCTTCTGGTGTCCTGAATAATGCTGCCCTGACCATTCCTCTGTGAGCATCTGTGGAGACATGTTCAAGTTTCCAGTTCCCTTGGGCTTCCTAGGAATGGAGGTGCTGGGCCACATGCTCGCCTTTTAGGGTGACCGCCAAAGTGCCATCCAAAGACCAGGGACCATCTCAGTTCTACTCCCAATGTGTGAGGCTCTTATGGTCTCTGCGTCCACCCCAACACTTGTCATGGTCGGCCTTTCTGATAATCACCATCCCAGAGCTTCTGCCCTGCTTTAATTTTCATTTCCAATGGTGGAGGATGTGTGGCACCTTTTGTGTGGCTTACTGGCTACTCAGTAGCATTTTGGACAAATGTTGGTTCCGATCCTTGGTCCATTTCCTCATTGGATTGTCTATTATAGAGTTGGAAGAGTTCCTGATTTCCTGGATGCAAGGCCCTCCCATATCACATGTGTGCTTTGCAAATATTTCCTCCCATTGTGAAAGGGGCAGAGTGGCCCTTTCCTGGTGTGGAGACACAGCACAAAGCAGGTGTTCAGCCTCGGCTCTCTGGACTTGGGGGTAGGGAGCCTCAGGTCAGTGGGCATGGTGGAGATGTGCGTACATGGTCCCCCAAATGAGCCCCCATGGGCTCTGGATTGAGAAGCCTGCCATATATCCCATCCACCCTCCATGCCTTCTGCCTAGGACAAGTGGATGTGACTGTGCAGCCCACCCAAACGACAGAATGGGCCTCTGTCCCTTGTTCTTTAATAAAAGGCAAAGGAAACTGTTAATCTGAATCTCCTGGTGACTGGAATGAATTGCAGATTCTTATCAAGTTCCCTGAAGAATAGCAAAGTTACTTGGCAGATACATCATGGTTCGATGCATGATTTCCCTCAGGCTTCTTGCCAACTGCACTGGATGAAGAGGCTCCTGGAGATGTAATTGGATTGAGGACACTGCACCCTTCAGTGGATTAATCTACTAATTTCACTAATGCATGTGCTCCAAGGAGGTAGGGCCCAGCTGGAGGGGTGGGGATCCTGGGTGGCCTGTGGAAATCCCACCTCTCTAGTGTTCTTCCCTGGTGCTCAGCTTCCCAGGCATTATGGGAGCCAGCTGTGCTCTGCCATGCCCTTCCACCAGGATGTTTCTGCTTTGGAGCCAGATGACTCTGAAACTGTGAGCTGAGTAGACCTCTCCTCCTGTGTGCTGTGGGTGTCAGGTATTTCTTCCCAGTGATGGGAAAGCTGACAGATGTATTACATGCCGCTTGGCCTCCTTTAGTGACAAGAACAGAGTGAGTGCAGCTTCCATGTTGATAAGTCCCTACTCCAGCCCCCATACTAGCATCTCACATCACATTTCTCTATGTCCTCATAGACGACACCAGACATTGGACTGCACCCTGCCTCATTAGTAGGGTCAGAATGTGTCCCTCAAGTTCAGATGTTGAAACTTCACCCACAGGGGGGCACCATGCAGAGGAGGTCTTTAAGAAGATGTCAGGTCATGGGGGCTGCACCTCCACAAACAGACCCTGTGTGTTTAGGAAAGAGGCCAGCTTCCCTCCCTCCCCCAGGTGAGGCCACAGCCAGAGGTTGCCACCTTGGAAGCAGCTGCAGAGACCCAGCCTCAGCAGACACCCAATGGACTGGCGCCTTGACCTTGGACTTCCCAGCATGCTGAAGTGTGAGCAATGAGTTTCTGTCATTTATAAAATACTATTGCTGAGCTATTTAGTTATAGCAGCACAAATTATGACACTCACCTTTTCTAAAATGATTTTCAATCATGGAACTCCAAGATGCGAACTGACATCAGAGTTTGGCAAACAGCTGGGTGCCATCAGTGCCTACATTTTCTTCCCCTTGGACTAGAGCAATGATGTCCTGATTGAACACATTAATTTTCTGTCAAGAAGACAAACACCGTATCAGCAGAGATATTCAAATGCATGGGGGTGGTGCTTGCAGGTCTCGTGTGCCTTGAGTTTGGGTGACCCATTCTCCTCGTGGCCACTCTGGAACAAGGGGAGAGAAGAGGCTGTGCCAACAGGAGATCCCATCCCTAGGAAATCCCCATGGGACGTTGGGTGAGGCCTTTTCAGAGTCCCTGTAATGAGCAGGACTCCCTTACCTCTGTCCCCACCAGCACTTTTCTTAGTGCTAGGTGGGCAGAGTGTATTTGCAGGAGGCTTGGGCCAGTGAGGACAGCATGTATTGGTCACAAGACACCATGGAGGACAGCAAGGTGGGAGTCTCCAGCAATCCTCACCTCTATCAGGAAGATTGTTTTCTTGGTCTCATCTTGTGGGATGTGCATACCATATTTTTGTAACTCCTCTGCTATTTCCTTTTGACAGTCCTTTATTTGATTTTCCAACAACGGCAGAGATTTCTGGGGAAGAGAGAAAATAATGGGACATACAACTATGGAGCAGGAATGGAAAGGAGGCAGTGGGCCTCCTCTGCAGAGGGGCCGCCTGGTCCATGTGACATCTCGGTGTCCTCTAATGATTTTCCTGGGGCAGAGATGCACACTAGGGATCACTAGTCCATCCCCATCTGCCATGTTCCTTCTCCCAGCTCACAGCCATGAACCATGCATAGGTGTGAAGTAGCCACCAAGGAGCAACTCCTTCTGAGTCAGCATGCAGGGACAGCAGCCTGATGGTCTTTTTCAGGAAAAGTGGCAATTGGGACAACTTGAGATTCTACAACTTTGATGCTGTTATCAGAGTGGACTCCTGTTTTTGCCCATGTAGCCCACTGGATGAGTGGCTCAATCCCCCGTAACAGCATGAACCACACTGGCTGGGAGGTGAGCCCTGTGTCCCTTCCCATGTGCTGGGTGGCAAGGTAATAAGGGACACTAGCAGGCTGAAGCCAGGAAGCGGGAGTCGTCCATGGGTTGGAGAAGACAGCATTGGACTCCAAACTGGGTTGCAAGGGAAGAAAACCTGAGCCCAGATCTAGGAGCCACACCCAGTGCAGGGGAAAGATGAAACCTTGTGGGCTTGGTCAAGGTTGTGAGAGAGGAGCAAGGTTTTCCTGCTAAGGTCACCCTGGGGAGCTCTACCTCATCAGCATAGTCTTGGAGACATCGGCTAGCCAGCTCTGCTCTCCACCCACCATGGGTCTGGGAGGAGGACCTAGACCTTGGCACTGGGTAGAGGGGAAGAGAAGGTCTCTGTAGAGCTTTGGTGCCCATGAGCTGCCTCTCTCTAGCAGGACACAGGGCACTGCGTGAACTTACACAGATGTATGTGATGAGCTCAGCGGACAGTCTCTCTGCCAGGCAGGGAACTGTGGCCTTGCCATCCTCTAGCAGTGCCCTGAGTGAGGACAGAGATTTCCACTGGGAGGTGGACAAAACACCCACATCTGTGCATGGGGAAGGGAAGTCAAGCACAATTCAGTTGTTTCCAATGGAACTGTAGACACACAACTGATACCCAGCACATACACAGCTGGACTGAACACATCATGGCTGCAGGATCCAAGCTCAGACATTTCCACAAAGGTGCCTGACCCCTTCCAGGTTGGCACACAAAGTGCCTCAAACCCAGACTGTCACATCCAAAATATACATATTCACAACCACAGGCATGGTGTGCGCATGCACACACATGCTTCTCTGTCACATGGGAGTAGACTCTGTCCATACAGGAGCAGGTGTACATACAAATACACATAAGGAAGAGGAACATGGAGCAGGGAGACACACCCTGGCCTGGAACTTAAACCAGGACACGTGGAGGGAGGAGGCCACGCAGACCTCTCATACTGCCCAAGTCTGTGTGCCCAGGGTGGGGTGTTTCAGACTGCTCTGGGGTTTATAGGATCATTCAGGATGATAGGCAGCAGGAGGCTGAGCACAGGCCTGGCTGGGACAGCCTACTCATGCCAAATTTCTGTCTCACATTCGTAATTTAAAAGATTCTGGAAAAATACATATGAGGTAAAATGGACCATTTTAACTATTTTTATCACCAGATTAATGGCATCAAGGTCCTTAACAGTCACTCCAATCCTTCTCTAGAGCCTTCTCGTGGCAGACATGAAAGTCTCTCCATTATACACATCTCCCATCCTGCCTCCTTCAGTCTTGTCCCTGTGCCCTCTCTCTGCCTCAGTGAGGTTGCTGTCCTAGGAGTGTCACTCAGGGGGATCACACAGCATTGGGCTCACTGTAACCAGCTGCCTCGCTCAGCATTGCAACCTCAAGTTCCCACCAAGCCACAATCTTATGGGATCCTCCTCCTTCTTGAGGCTGGAAAACACTCCAGCTCCTGTGCATCCCAGTGTCTCTGCCCACAAACCCCAAGTTGTTCCATTCTCAGGCTGTGTGCAGAGCGCTGTGGTATGTGAGAGTGTGTGCAGGCCTGTGTGACACACCAGATGTTATAAGGCTGCCTCCCTGCAGGCTTCTGCAAGGACTGATGCCCTGAGGTTCTCACCATTTCCTGTGCTTCACTGAAGACCAAACCAACCTCCAGTCTTTTCTGTTCACCTTAGATATGACTGTTGAATTAATGACTTCCCATGTCCCATCCTCATTTTCAATGAGTTTTTGTTTTGGGGGGGTACTACTGTGTGAACTCCCCTTTTATTTATCCAGACCAGAGAGCAAACACTGTCACACTCAGCCACTCACTATAACCCACATCTACACACCTGCTCACACTCTCACACACCTTGGATATCTGCCCTCCAGGGGCAATTTCCTTGTGGAGACAGTGTCTTCAGTGGCATATTCCTGAGACAGGTGGCACAGCACACCTAAAGCGAGGGTGCTTCTCAAAGAAGGCCCATTTCCTCTGCAGGGCCTTGGCCAGGCTCAGCCACTCCTGGGTGTCCTGCTGGCCATGGCACTTGACGATCATGTAGCCCTTCAGGTGGCAATACTAGGTTTTGCACCACATCCACAACCTTGTCTTCAGTGCCTCTGTCCACCAGGTCAGGCTTTGTCAAGTTTCCTGCAGAAGGTACATTTTAGGTATACAATATAATGACATTCATCATTGGAAATTTGCACCTTTACATAATCTCTCTTGGTTTTTATTTTTCACCCTTGCCCAGCCCTCCCTTCAACCCCTCCATTCCTCCCTATTTACAAAGATTTTGTTCCTATTTTTCCATTTTCTCATATTAATCCCATTCCCTTCTATCCTTTCCCCTAGTCCTCCCGCTTCCTTCCCCTTTGCCCCTTTTCTTCCTATTTCACACGACCCATTATACATTTTAGTCCTTATTTACACTTTCAGTTTCTCACACCAGAGAAACTATTCAGTATTTATACATGTGTGTGCTATTTATTTCACTTAAGAGTATCGCCTCAATGTGCATCCACTTAGCTATAATAAAATGTAACAATGATTAGAATGAATAATCGATAATGCAAAATAGGAAGAAAAGGTCCAAAGGGGTAGGGGTAGTGGGAGGAGCAGGGGAAAAGAAAGAAAGGAAAGGAAAAATGATGAGAAATGGAAAAAATGGAAATAAAATCTTTGTAAATAGGGAAGGGTGGAGGGGATGAAGGGAGGGCTAGGAATGGGGAAAAAATAAGAACCAAGATGCATTATGTAAAGGTACAATTCCCAATGAGAAATGTAATTGTGATGTGTACCTAAAATGTACCAATAAAAGAATTTAATAATAATTTTAAAAAGATTCCTGCAGAAGGGACTTCTCATTAGAGGATACTTGAGGGAGAGGGGAAGGCAGCTCCTGCCCCAGCCCTCAGCAGCCCATCTTGGTCTTGGTCCCACCCTAGCTGGAGGGCAGACAGGATCCCCACAGCAGCTACAGGCAAGCCAGGACCACATGCTAGAAAGCATTGCAGAGGATGAACATGAGGACAGGGGCACTGCCGGCACTGCCTGCACTGTGGGCTCTCCTGCCCTCTTCGCCAACCCCCTGGAACAGAGGAAGGAACTATTCATCCCTGTGTACCCTGAGCACATCTGCTTAGCTTCCTTCTCCCTTGCTTTCCAGTGAGCATGATGCCCCACCTCCCCTCACCCTGCCCTCCCACTGCCCTGTGCCTTCTGAAACAGGAAGGTCAGGGGAACCAGGCCACCTGTGGCCATCAGGAGCCAAGGAAACCTCATCTCCTCCCACTTCAGAGGGCACCTTAGCTGCTCCTCCCTCTGCATGCAGGTCCCCACCCAGGTGTACGCAGAGCCTGGCCCCTCAATTCATTCCTGCTCCTCACCTATGGTCCTGTCTCCTTCGGGATCCACCTCCTGCATCATGCTCAGCGCCTCCGTGGTGGCAATGTCTATATTACTGGGGACCACCACCAAATTGAAGTTCTCAGCCTTTTCAATGTACTTCATGATGAGCCGCTTGATTTGTGAGAAATGACACTATTGGCCTCCTGAGATGGGAGGGAGGGGACAGACCATCCCGACCTTGCACTTGGCAGCCCTCAAAAGCTAGCGGTATCCATCCCTGAGAAGTAAAGGTGGACCAGGGGCCCCACAATGGCTACCCTGGTGGCACCTGCCAAGCTAGAGGGATGACAAACTAACATCTGCAGGAGTCATAGAGCTAAGGGGTCAGGGATGACCATGAAGTTGGAGCTGCTTAACTTTCCCCTGAAACCTTAGATCCGGTGGTCACAGTGGACAGCAGGATGCCAAAAGTGCTGCCTGGCTCACTCCCTGAACCTGTATCCACAAGGAGAGATTCAGTCATCACAAGTTTCCTTCACACCTGTCCTCAGGATTTCTTCCAGGATAAGAGCCTTCTCACCAAACACTGAAGTGGAGATGCTAGAAAAGGGAACTGTACCAACCATTATAGATACATTTGTATGAGTCATCTCATAAAACAGAACATCAGAAATCTGTTTCTAGTTGTACCTGCTTGCCTCACTTTCACCATCAAACTTGGAAGCTGATGACCACAGGGCTCTTCGATGCCACCACAATTCACATGTCCCTCTCCAACACAACCCTGCACTCATGGAGACCCTCAGGCCACATCGCCTGTCTGGCCTGAAGTCTCACCTGGCAACTGATGTCAGTGGGCTGATTGCCCACAGCCACCCTAGTGATCCCAAGAAGGTCAATGAGAGTCAGATCTGGGATGCTGGGGGAGCTGATCTCCAGACTAATGAGTTTGTCCTTGATTCTCAGCCCATCCCCAGCGATGAAGTTCTGGGTTGGAGAAGAGGAAAAGAAAAAGCCCCCAGGGATTAGAATGTTATGTCACATTCTAGGGAAGGGTGCAAAGCCTCTACCCTCCAGGACTCCTGAACAGCAGCTCTGTTGATTCAGAGCCCATCTTCTGAGATCAGAGTTCAAAGACTCCTCAGAGGACAACTCAGCACTTTCCAAGCTGTGGCCAGCTCCTCTAGAGAGGCCTGCTGAAGCTGTCCATGAGGACCCCAGTCTGGAGCAGTGCCCTGCAGAACCCAGCCTCCCTATGGGCTCCCATGTCCTCCCTTCCATGCTGGGGTGACATTCACAGGGAGAAAATAGGAAGGAGGGAGCGCACAGGGGATCCCCCAAACTGGAGCTGCAGGTTGACCCAGGGTGGGGTCAGCTCAGGCAGGAGGAGCCCTGGATGAGGGCAAACTTGTAAGAGGTCCACATCCCACCAACCCCCTCTAGAATGAGATGTATAGGGTGTGAAGCTGCTTCATCTGAGTGTTTGCTAATACAACATTGCTCATGTCTCCTGCCTCATTGTTTGAAATGTTTGGTGGGAACCTAGAACATAGATGGAAAATAGCAGCAATGGTAGATGTGGGAAAGTCTGCTAATTGCCCCCAAAGCCCTGTGCCCACAAGTAATGACTGTGATACTGAGCTCAGGCCCCTGGCACCTGTGAAAATGTCCCATGCAATGTCCAGAAGTTGGCTAGAATGCAGCCTTGCTAGCTCCATCATGAGGGCCTGGGAGACAGAAGTCACCCTCACCTCAGACAGGAACAGGAAACAGAGTTTGTGACATTGGAGCCCTCACTCCAGCTGTGCTGTGACCTGCAGATGTTTGTGTGTCTGCCACATGCTGCCCACCCTCTAGGACTCCCATCATTCCTGCATACACCCTGCTTCATGCCTGACCTACCTGGCCCTTGTCCTATCTACAGATAGCTTATTTCCTCCATTCAAGGTGTGGTCAGAGTCCAATGGTATGTTCCTGAATGTGACTCTGGGAAGCCTGAAGGAGCTGTCCTTTGGGGTTGCCTTCTCTTCCTGCTTGGAGGACCCCAACCCTTTTCCCCAACAAACCCTGAAGCTTCCTGGAGCATGGCAGTCAGGCCAGCCAAGGGGAAGGTATATTAACAAGATCTTCCTGGATGGCCACCTAGCCCAGCCCACCCAAAGGATGCACATTAGTCATGGATTAATGGAATCATGAGAAATGCACCTTTAAGCCATGAGGCCTTGGGGTCAACATGTTACTTGTCTGGAGCTGACCACTACACAGTTATTTTGAGTTTTCTGCTAGAGGCAGACAAACTAATTTCAACTGGGACCAAAGAAAATTTTGTAACATTATTTAACTTTATTTAACCTTATGGACAAGGACTAAACAGTGATACCACCTTGCAGAAACAAAGGCCACCTTGTTCATTTTGGGGATCAGTGTGAGCCTCATTCTCTGTCTCAAGACAACTGAAACATAGCCATGTGACAGAGGAGGAAGACAGAAACTTAACAGGGAAGTCTTGATTCACCTGCAGTGGCCACTCTGTCAGCACAATGTCCTCATACGTAAGTGTAGGGCTTGTCTGCTCCCACATATGTTTCACACTACTCTGCTTGGATTCAGGAGAACCTGTCTCCAGCCAGGGAAGTGGAACTACAAATGTGTACACACTCTCTCGGGGACAAGGCCCACAGATCCCAGTGGAGATCATGGGGACACAGCCCCTGGGGAGACCCTTGGATGAGGCAGCATGGGAAGTAGTCCTTTGCCCACACCCAGATCCTCTTGCTTCTGATCTGTGACCTATGAGTCAACAGGCTCTTGAATGAGGATAGCAGAGTCTTGTGTTTGGAGGCAAGTTTTAAATTTTAAAATTCACATCATTCTGAGGCATTTTTTCACATGTGACACAGCCACTTCCTGCTGCCAGATTCTGTGCCCATGCCTGGTCTTTGAGAGGGGAAAGAGGGGAGGAGCAAGACCATTGAATGCCCATGTGGAGAGATTCTGAGGGCACAGGATGGGTCCAGATTGGGATACTGGGAACCTACACAAGCCCCCACTGCACGGCTAGACCAGGCATCCTGCAGATGATAAGGGCACTTACCTCTTCATTTCCTCTTCTACCTTGAAATCATCTGAGATGTCCTCCTCAATGCCCATGTAGCTGACCTTGCCTCTCTACTTATCATCTTGGTTCAGCTTCTTCAGTTTCAACACCCGAGGGCACCTGGTGACAATACCTAGGGGCCACACCCATGCCAGTCTCTGTTCTGGTCCTAGAGCCCCCATATGGGGCCTCTGATCAACATGACGCAAATTCACACAGTCCTTGCCAAGGAGGGTGGTGGCTGGAAACAGAAACCTCTCTGGTTTCTCCCTTAGGTCCCAGTGACCTCAGGCCTCTGTGTTAGAAACACGCACCCAGGGGACTTTCCTCTTCATGGTTGAAAGCCACAACTCACGGCAGGCTTCCCACTTCCTACTACTGATTTGCAGCCATATCAGGTGACAAGTGCAGTAGGAACTCCCAAAGCATCTGCACTTGTCCTCCAGTGTCTCCTACACATGCTCCACTCATCAGTGTCTCCAGCACAGTCCCACAATCCCCTACTGTCATCTTCTCTCTCATGTCCTACTAGTGGCCTGAGCTCTGAACTCTCACCTATGATCTGATCTCTACTCTTGAGCCTTCACTTACCCACTCTGCTTTATACCCCCCTGACCTGTGTATCAATGCATAGCACAGGCTGGGGCCCCATCCTTTCATTCAGACCCGCCCACACTGCAGATTCCACAGTGCCAACATAGATATGTTCAATGCGATGGTGCTGTGGACTTCATGGTCATTTCTAGAATGTGTATGCAGAAGCCCTCACCTGAATGTGCCTGTGTGGGGGACGGGACCTTAAGGGAGGTCATTCAAGTTAAATGAAGTACCAAGGGATAACATTGGTGGAGTCCCTAACACTATGACTAGTGCCCTTATGAGAGGTGGCAGAGACACCAGGATCCTGCACAGTGGAAAGGCCAGGTCAGGTGCAGTCAAATGAGGGGCTGGCCACCTGCAATCTGTGAAGAAAGATCACAGCCTTAATCTTGCACCTGCAGTGCCAGAGCTGTGGGAGGACCACTTCTGTCCTTTAACACCCACCCTCCAAATCTGGGTAGCTCAAGTTGAGTAAAGAAGATGTAGCACTCACCACTGCCCCTGGGGAGGGCGACTCCTGACAGAGTGTCCAGCATGGAGCTCTTGCCCGAGCTCTGGTCTCCAACGACCACAATGGTGGGCAGGACCAGGTCCTGCTCCACACCCAGGGCCTGCAGTGAGTCAATGAGTTTGATGCAGAGCCACACCTTCTACTCCTGCCTGCAGAGGTTGTTCCCAGGCACCTGGAGAAGGTGAACATGCTCCCTATCATACACATTGAAGACAATTAACTTCAAGAACAGGGATAAACAAGCTGTTAGAATCCCAAAGAACTGAAAAAGAGACAGGAAAATATTTGAAGAAACACTAATACACACAAAGTCCTCAACTGATTTAAACTGTGAACCCAAACGTCCAAGAAATTAAGTGAACCCCAAGTAGAGAACACATAATAGAAACCACATGAAGATACATCACAGGAAATTGCTCCAAACCAGTTCAGTTATAAAGAGAAAATATCAAGAGTAGTTAGAAAATGACATATGACATACAGAGGAACAAGACAAGCTTGACAGCAGACATCTTGTCCATAACAATGGCAGTATGAAGACATTGAGACAAAAATTTTTTCCAAAAATTGGAAGACTAGCCTAGAGTCTACACAGAATAAGGCTAGGGTCTTAGATGTGCTAAAAACATAGTCTACTTCTGAACTATGACCCCACCCAACACTTCCCAACAATTAAAAATTACTAATAAAAACTACTATGAACCAGGAATTCTATATCCATTAAAATACGTTTTGAAACAAAGGCAGGATTGGAGCATACTCAGCTTGGCAGACTGGACGAGAACACAGGGATTGGAGGGGGGGAGGCAGTGTATCTCCAGGTCTGCAACTTGACTGTGGCATTATAAGCAATAAGGCTATGATTATCATATTTTAAGTAGTATTTATTCAGCTGCTGCTGCTTTTTAAAAATGAAGATAGAGGAGAGCTTACATTATCAGTGTCAGGCTCTCTGCTTAGCACTCTGTGTCCATTCTCCCATCAAAATCAACCTGGTAGACAGATTAAGTTAGGAGGGATATTACAGCGCATTTTTGTAGACAAGAAAATTGAGACTTAGAAGTGTAAGCAAAGTGGCTGAGAAGTACCAGCACATTTGGACTTTGACACAGTAATCTGCTGCTTGTTCTTGACCACTTTCTGATTTTTTTTCAGGAAAATCAAACATAAGATTTAAAAATTAACAATTAATACCAAATAAAGACTTTTTAGACATGCAAATCCTGAACCAACTTACACCCACACAACACAAGGAATAACACTGACTCAAAATGGGTATCTACACTGTGAAATCCACACCACAAGAGGTAACTACTATCCATTTTCTTATCAGTAAAATAATCCTAAATAATCCTATTGACTTTTTGAACAAAAACAATAGCAATATGCTATGGCATTTCTGCTGTAAAGGAGAGGAATGTGTATGACATAAAACACAGTAGTAGCTGAGAAATGTAAGTGTATGCTTGGAAAGGTCTTATATTGCACATGAAGGGATATTCAGACAGGTAAAGGCACAGACATCGGTTAAAGATGTATCCAACAGACTCTGAAGTTGTTTATATGCCAAAATAGGGAGAAAGTACTTCTCAATTACACAGGTTTCACCAAAAGAAGGCAGAATATCAAGAAAGGGTGAGGAAAGAACAATCTTCAAACAGAAAACAAATACCCACATAGTATTCTCAAGCCTAACAAGTCCCATTTACAATTTCCTGCTAAGTTGACCACCAGTGGTACATGCATGCCTGTCCCATCTGGTGGCTTTTTATTAATTTTATTAGTAAAAACACCAATGTGATAAGATCTGTTGGTACCACCAGAGGTACAAGCTGCCTGATAGGACAGTCACACATGTGCCACCAGGAGTTTGAGCTGCCCAGCAGTGAGACATATGAATTACGGCCCTGTTATGAAAGTATTAAATATCAAAGTTCTGAGTGCTACTAGGAGACTCTTTCCTCACTGTGAGCCCCTGCCACCATTTGCAGTTTCCTCCTGGGACAACCCTGCTCTGCACACAACTCCCCAGAGTGCAAGAGCTCCACCTCATTTCTCAGAGCACATGGCACATTCCCGTGGGTCCCTGATAAAGGACAGGCAAGTGAGCCACAGGTGTGAGGGTACTGAGGGGCTCAGCACTTGCTCTTCCAGCACCCTTCAGGCTGTGCTGATGCTGCTTGTCTGGGGGCCCACTTTGAGAACGGCCTCTGTCTACCTAGTGGTGGAGCTCCATAATGGACCCACCATGTCACCTGGACAGGAAGAGGCCATATCCAAGGCATGTGGCTGTGGGTGGATGCTCCAGTTTAGAGCTGAAATGTCCTCCAGAGCCACTGGTAGTGGAATTTTGGTCCCCAGCTTGATGCTACAGGGAAACTGAAGACCTACATGGGCCCGGGGGGTGGGGGCATCATGGATCACTGGGGAGAGGAGTTTGAAGTGGATAAAGGGACCTCATCCCGTCCCTTTTCTCACTTTCATTTGCCAGCCATTAGGTGTCCACTTTGCTCTCTGATATTCGCCTACCATGCTGTGTCACCAGGCTCCCAAAGCAACTAAGTCAACCTGTGACACTGTAAGATAAGTAAACCTATCCTCTTTATAAGTTCATTATCTCAGGATTTTTTGCTACAGAAACGGAAAGCTAACCCAGGGCTCGTAGATCATCCTGACCCACACTCTGAGGATCACAGCCCAGCAAGAGAGAGTCACTTTCAGGGGAAAGGAGGGAAGTGGAAGCAGGGACTTTATGGAGATGGAGAGACAGGCAGCCCTTCTTATTGGTCTCTGATCTTCAACAATGCTGTGAATACATTGGAAAACCTGTTGAACATAACCTAGAAAATGAGCTAATGTGACATAGGATGGTGGTCTAGGGTTTAAAATGTTTGATTATAATAAACAGATCTGAATTTTTGGCATTAGTGGCAGTTATGCCTCTCAATAGCCACATGCCCTTTGATCAGACATGGAAAACCAGGCTAATATGTGGAGAAAAAAACTTCTCCAGGTCAGGCAGGTGAAAGGGTCTATGTTGGGACCAAAGCTAGCAGTGACTCATTCTAAAGCCCATGTTTATTTTCCACCAAAAATAGGTCTCAATTATAGGAACTCAAATGCCACATGGTTTCCCTGGGGGAGGAAGTGTCATAAGGAGATCTCACAGCATTTGTAGCTGCATAATGAGGCATGATATGGACAAGACCCACACAGTACTCTCGGGACCCAGGGTCCAGCTCCTCAGCATCTCCTCTGCTTTCCCAAGACAAAACGTCACCCTGGGCATATCTGACCATGGGGAGTCTCCATCCCACTGCATGTTGTCCTAAACAGTGACAATTGGCCCAGATCTGCATCCTGCCCCAGGAAGGACAAGGAAGACACTCTCTCCAGGAAGCAGCACCCTGCCCTCCTTCTTGCCCTCCACCACTACACAGACCCCACTGCACCCCTCAGATGGACATGGCTCCTGTCCACATGGAATGTGACTCTAAGACAGCAACTTACCAGGGCCTGGGCTTCCTCTGCCTGATTAGCGCCTCCACTGAGTAAGAGATGGTTGAATGGAGCAGCTGAATCTCTTCTGGCTTTCCCAGAGGAATGACCCATCTTCTTCCCATTTCTGTCACACTTGGTGCTGAAAGAAAGTTGGCACATAAGCAAGCACATCGCATACACAACCTTCCCGCCACTCCTATTTGCACCCCAACCCCAGTCATGTGTCCAGGGCATCATCACCCCTCATGCTCCATCTTGAAAGGGACAGTTGGATGCACCCCTTGTGTGAGGGCCAGAGGGGTGACTATAAAAGAGCAGCAGTTTTCATGGGGGTCCATGGATTCTGGCAATCTGGAAATTTGTTCCCAAAATAACTCCCCTCCCCTGACGAATGGGAAGATCTCATGTTCCCAGGGGTCCCTTTCTCCACGGTGAAGCCCCCTTCTTCTGCCTCTCTGCACCCCTCATCTACTGGTAAGTCAATGCCTGAGTGGGCCTTAAGCACCATGAGGTGGCATCGCTGGTCTCAAGGCCAGGGGACCAGTCCAAACAGGAAACGGGACGTGCCTTCCTCAATTTGCTTCCTAAATGATACATGGGTTATGGCTGAGACGTGAAATGTCCCCCAAAACTAATGTTTAGAGAGTTGTTCCAGGCGGTGGTGGTACTGGGGTGCAGGAATCATTCAGAAGTTGGGAGCAGCTGGACAGCTGCTGAGGGGCCCCCAAGCAGAGAGGTGGCACCTTCACACCTGCTGGGTTCCCTCTGATTGGTTGTGGGCAGGGGGTAGGAGTGCTGGATGTTGTAACTCCAGCAATCCTGCTTCCTAGGAAAATCTCTATTCCCAGTGGATCAGATAATTTCAAGAGTTCGTGGTCCCCTGGTGTCGGGGGCAGGATTCAGCAGCACCTTGGCTCCTTGCACTCCCCCCCACAGCCATGTCACTTCTTGAACTTGGATGGTCTTGAGGGCTGAGTCCTCCCACCTACTGGGCCTGTGCCTCAGGGTCTCCTGTCCCTACCCAGGGAGGACAGTGATCAGCACAATTCTGCGCTCCTCTGGCTGCCAGCCCTTCCTAAGGACCCAGTTGGTCCCGGGAGTACCCTCCCCTGGGGTACCCCAGGCCCCTTGATATCATAACCTCAGAGGCCAACCCAGCCAGGCTGTGAGTTTGGGGCTCAGAGGAGGCAGCGGATTGGAAGGCCCCTCCTTGGCCCTAGGAACTCCTAGGCATCCCCAGTCCTGATTCTGTTTAGCCTGCAGCAGGAAGGCCCAGCTGGCACTGCTCCTGCCTCCCACCTTCAGCATAGATCCGCCAGGTGGGACAAGACTGAAGGAAAAAAGAAGGTATAGTTTTTAAATGAGTGTGAATTACTAAAACTAGGCACGGATATTACATCATTTAAAAAATAATGCATAGAAGTAAGGAAATGCAGGAAGGCAAACAAATATGGTAATAGCAGCTCATTTCTGGGAAAGAGGATTATGGTGAATTTTATTTTCTTCCTCTTGCCTGACATTCCTTTTAAAGCTTTCCTTAATTACTACATTATATTTATGATGTGGACTTATTTTAAAATACCAAAATATAGATGTTATCTTAAAAAATACAAATACATTTTTTCTTTTCTTTTCTCATAGTTTTTCCTTTCCCACCTCTCCTTTGATGTCTGTGTAAATAGGGAAGGGTGGAGGTGAAGGGTGCACAGGTAATGGGAAAAAAATAACCAAGATGCATCATGTACAGGTACAAACACCCAATGATAAATGTAAACGAATTGTATACCTAAAATGTACCAACAAAAGAACTTAGGTAAAAAAAATACAAACGTTGTACTTCAAGAAAAGTTCACCCTTCTAAATGCCTATGTTAAGAATGAAGAAAACCAGCGCGCTCCCCGCGCACCCCGCCCCCACAGGAGCTGCCCCGGGCGCCTGGCCGCCCCGCCCCCGCCTCGCCTGCCGCCGCCGCCGCCCGGTGCTGCTCAGGCGCCGCCTCGGCTTCCTCCGCGCCGGTGCCGCCGCAGCGCAGCCTCGCGGTCCTCGCCCCCAAGCCCTCGGGAGCCGCGGCGACCCAGCCCACTGCCATGTCCAGGAGCCTGAGGAACAAGAGCCACTGGACGAGCAAAGTCCACGAGGCGGGCGCGGAGAAGGGCCAGTTCCCCTACCCGGGCGACGTGCAGCCCGCCAAGGTGGCCTAGGAGAGCGGCAGCAGGCTCCTGTCTGAGGAGCTGCTCCTGGAGGTGCAGGAGACCCCGGTGGCCGGGCTCACCACCAGGGACGCGCGGCGGTCATCAGGAACTTCG